TTGTCATGAACAGGGTCTACAAATTTGTTTTCTTTTTGTCATAAACAGGGTACCCCTTTCAGAATCCCAGCGGAAGACCCCTACCCAAATTCTGGGGGAGTACCCCCCCCCCCCCTCCCCCCGGGCGTGCTACTCCTTAGACTCCAAAAAAAGTCTATTCAAAAAATTGTCGCAATTCGCTCATGAAAGCTTTGAAAAATGGAAAAACTTAATCATTACATTGGGCGGTTGTTGCTGAGATCAATCGTTTATGACATCATAATATATATTTATTGGTTATAAACTCCTAATATAAATTTATATATACAGAGCCTAGAAAATAGACCCCTTGCATTGATTTCCTAGAGGAATTGTTCTTGGGCACAAAGCAATAGGCAACATATTAACACATATTATATCTGAAAACCATGCCATTTTAGATTAAACTGTTTTGCTAGGAGCCAATTGTGTTAAATTTTCTATTGGATTTGGCGATTCTATCCCCCACATAAACAAGCAGTGACGTCATAGTGAAATAGGGCAATTCCTCTCGGGACTCAGTTTAAGGGGTCTATATACGCTGTCGATGTAAACTCCTTGAAACCTGCATTGCAATTTGAAATCCCTTTTTAAAGGCACTGAAAAATCCAGTGATAAAAAGAAATTATAGAAGTTCCTCAAAGTAAGTGGATCAATTAGTTAAGTATCTAGACAAGAAGCTTGCTCTTAATTCGTTGAAACTCACAACTTTAAGCAATAGGATCATAACTTGAGTTCTTGCTAGGATGGGGAGGGAGGTACTTGCCACTAGATGCTCTTACCTTGAATGCAAACTGCTGAGCAAAAGTATCGCTTACTGAAGGGAAACGTAATAATCGATGTCTTGTGTTGACATCAAATGTAAGAGCTAAATTAGAAGCACCTAGGGAAAATAAGGTTTTAAGATATATTAGGGGGCATTAGCCACAACTGGCATTACTGTAGCTCCCCCATCCTCCTTCTACCCGGCCCTATACCCCCCAAGGCAGGTTTGAGTTCGAAGTTGCTTAAATATAGCAGCTACTTGAGCAAAAATCGTATTTTTATGAACACATTACATCAACTGCTTGCTAGGTGGCTCTCCTTTAATAATGACGTTTTAAAGTTGATTCAGCGGTTTTCAGCATTTTTCGTGTGAAGGCACAAACCCTACGTATCAAAGTACAGGATGGATATCCCTGGCAGTGTCCCTGCTCTTGGTCATCTTACATCTCAAAGAACACTCTCTCAAAGAACATGTGATATGATGGACGTACCTAGACTAATGATGTTATCATACAGTGGGTTCTTATTCCAGGCACTTGTCCACACAGAATGACGGTTCATTGGATACCTGCCAAGAAACCCTTCAACAAAAAAAATGAAAAATGAATCTCTTACTTAGATTAGTTCAAATGTTAGTTCCGGTTCAGGAGGGGGACCTCTCGGCATGGGAGCTAAAAAGTGAAAATCAGGAAAAAGAAGGTGTTATCTGAAAAAAAAATGTCCGAAACTGCAAATCTCCATGTCCCCTGTAATTATGACATCAAAAACTGTAATATACTGCTATGTAAGTTCCATTATTATCATTATTATTATTATTATTATTTTATTTAGTTTAAGTGGATGGATGGACAGACGGATGGATTGACAGATGAAATCCAAAGCCTTTGTGTCACTTTTAAGTTACGTTTTAATTAATGCCTGTAGATAATTCCTTTCAGTCTTTAAAACAACGATATCTGGTAAATTTGACTCACTTTGTGTTAATTCTTCAACTTGAAAGAGTAGACCCTCACCCCACTTGTCACCATGGCCAAGTAAGGTTATTCTTATTACACAGTTAAGATATTTATACACTGAACCAGATGATACAATTATTATCCTTGATTTACTTTAAATAATGGTAAAAGTATCAATCATTGACAGCTGCAGGATTTTTGAAAAGAGGTGCAGGGGGTGAGGGAAGTGGCAGGTTCAAATTAATGAGTTAGAGGGGGCCCCTCAAGAAAATAATACAATTTCTTAGTTTGGACATCTTATCCCATTTCAGACCATTCATTCTCTAGAGTACCATTTTCTTTGTTTAATATTTGCACATGAGAAGACACATGAATATGAATACAACTCAAACAAAGAATCTTATTCTCAAGAGAATGACACATGGCCTGGGCAAACATTGTCTCCAAGCTAAAAAATAGAACTATTCTTTTGTTATTCTATCTTTGATCAGATAATGGTAAAGTGCTTTAGTTAAATAATGCAGTTTGTGTTAGTATTCAAGTTTCATTGATATGAACAGGGGCCGCAGAGCAACCTAAAAAGTGGGGGGRGGGGGGGGGGACTAAGATTGAGACTACTATGGAAAAAAGATTACCTAAGATTGGAAAATATAAGAGACTAGTAGGGAATGGGGGGGCTGCCCTGGCTACGCAGTCTTTGATTAATTAAGTTCCATTTAGGATACAGAAAGAAGTCAATTGTTTTGGGATGAGGACTCCAGTTAAGAGATGTCACTAGCTGTAAAATAAAATGAAAATAAAAATATGAGACAATGACAAAGAATATCAAATGCATGTGAGCTCTTGACAGACGCATGATCGATGATTTTATACGTAGGCAGATTGGCGTGGGCGAGTTGGTCCGTGGGCAAATTAACTGTAAACTCTTCAAGCATGTCAATCTTTAGAGTTACTTAGCCTGCGTATCAGCCCTCATTAATTGTCGGGTTATCAGTCCTCCTTTGAGGGCTGCTATGCGAGTCATAGAATTATATTTGAATTATATTTAATACAAATTTAAATATTTTTTTAAATGTGACAATATTTTCACATGCTTTATCAGTTTTTTAGACAGAAGATTATAGACAGATTTCGTGGCTGTTATAAAGGCTGTTTTATAGAGATTGTTTGCATATGGAAAACTTAAGTAAAACTTATCCAAATAGAGCTAGCTCTTACTTGATCCTTCATCATGGATGATCCTGGTACTATTGACATCTTGTGGTTTTTGTCTTTTGATACTTGGTGAAATTGAACACTAAAAGGAAGAAATATGACATAATTGAAAGGTATGTAATATAAAGACTGATTGCTGAGTTAGTGTAAGTGCACTACCAAGGGGCGTAGCAAGGTCTCAATTATTGTGGCGCAATGTACCCTTTTGCTGCCAAATCCAAGGACTACTGCATGAATTTATTAAGTTTTGGTGCGGAAAGCAAACTTTTGGGGGAGGGCCCCTTTGCCCCCTCCATATGCTTATGGCACTTCTACTACACCACCCCTCTATTCTGATTTCTTTGCCATCTTCAACCTCCTCAGCACATACTCACACTGGATCTTCAGATCCACTTGTTTTGTATAGAGTGAGAATTCTTTGGTGTTTCAAATCAGGCTGGAAATGAAAAATACAGTTTGTGTGAAAATAGATTTTTCCAAAGTTGGCTACTTATTATGCCACATAATCACTCGCAACCCAGAAGTTTTTCTCATAAATCTCCCACTAGAGACAATAGAGGTCAATTTGGGGCATTTTTAGTAAACAAAATCTTGTATGAAAATTGAATAGAACATAAAATGGGACCCCTTATTCGCTAAGGAACCATAACGTAACAATATAAATAACACACAGAAACACTTCAATAAACAATACCATACATGAATGGAAGAAACAGCAAATTCAGGAGCATAAACATGTGTTAAATGAAGTTTAGAGGATTGCCGCACACGATATTGTTGGACAAGCTTCTCCATTGCCTCACTAAAGAACAGAAAGAATACCAGAACTTAATGTTTGTGGAACTATATAATCTAATACAAATTGCAGGGTTTTGGGTAAACTTGTCAGACAGGGTGGGATAGCAGCATTTTCATTATAACTTAACCCTCAATAATTTTTTCCGTGAAGCATCATGTCTAACACAAAATTGTTTACCTTTGTGAAATCAATGGGTCTGTCTGTTGATACTGTCTTGACATAATGAATTTTACAAAGGATGAATTTTGTTGTTTCTGGAAGACAAATAACATATTTTTTAAATAAAATATATACACATGTAGGTGGGCTCATGAAGAAAAAATTTGTTTAGGTTTATTGTTATTTAATTTAGCAACCAGAAATCTATTGGACAATCAATCCAACAAAGCATTTAAGTCACTGACAAAACCTATTATCTGCATCCAAATCATTTTTTCTGTTGTTTTGATTGGCCAAGATAACTTGTGCCATTATCAGGTTAATTGGCTATTTTGTCAACATGACTTGCTTCCCCGCGACTTGTTACATTTGATAGAAAGCAAAAATAACCAAAGCACAAAAAGAAAATGGAAAAAATAATTTGAATGACAAAACAATATTATTATTGAACTCAGTTGTGAGAATATTGTTATTTGCTAATGTCTCGCAGGCACTAACGAGTCATAATATTTTGCTCAATATCATTTAATGATTGCCTATTGTAGTTAAAATGGTTGGCACATTAATACTACAATAATAAACATTACATCCACCTGTATAACTATTGCTGGTTTTACAAGCAGCCATGTTGGTTGAATTTAATATAATTTTTAAATATATTTTTGTACCAATGCAAAAATACAAAACTGCTGTAACGATAGCTGTGTACACTGTATTTAATAGGAGCAAAGTTGTACAAAGCCAAATTATATTAAAATCATCAGATAACCACTATCTATCTGGAGTCTATAAAAGTTACGCAAATAGTTATGCATAAAATAAAATCCAGTGGATAACTCTATTTCAAGCCTCATGCAAACAACTTGACATCTGGATATAGTTTATCTGCTGGATAAAGATTTATCTTTTGATATAAGCTTATTTGTGCTTTGTACAACTGGCTTTTGGAGTAAGAGGAGTCTACAATTATGCGATCGGATTTGATAAATCACACAAACAAAAAAAATGACAACAACAAAAGGAATCCATTTCAGAGTCACAGCTGTTCAATAGCATACTGGTACATACCTTTCAATTGCATACTGGTACACCATTTGCAATAGACCTCTTTACCTTGGGCATAATGTTTTCCCATTTCAGATCATGTGTCATTCTCTTGCGAATAAAATTCTTTGTTTGAGCCGTATCCATATTCATGTGTTTTCTCATGTGCAGCCATTAAACAAAAAAATGATACTCTAGGGAATATGACACATGATCTGAAATGGGAAAACATTATGCCCAAGGTAACATTATTACAAACAAATACATCATACTATAAAAACAAAATATTTCTCACATACTTTTAGTCTTTTTCTTTTGACTTCTGAGCATTTCTTGCAGATTTTGGATTCCTTATTTACTTCTTGTGAAGACATTTTACATTGAATTTCATGTGTTATCCTAAAATACTTTTTCTTTTCTGTGTCATAAATAAATCCTGGAATCTTAAGTTTGCATAGTCAAAGGAAAAAACAGAGAAGGATTTTTTGTTTGGTGGGGGAGGGGGGGGGAAGGTTATGTTACTATTATGTTACTATTACTAATCATATAATTAATAAAGTATGTCCACAGGAAACCCACTTTAAGTGAATGTAACAACAGATGTTGTACATCAAAGCTCACAAAGCACTCTCAGAAACTTAGCTCTGCAAAAAAGGAAAATTGAAGGAAACAAATTGAAGAAAAAAACCCTGAAGGAACTATCAGACACCCAGTTCTTCACAGTTATTTTTGTCTGTTGAAATACCTACATTTCCATAGAAATGTTGATGAAAAATTGTCAGATGAATTTTTCCATTTTTCGAGGAGCTGATCGAAAAAGTAGAAGTACTTGGTTTCCCATCATGCTTTGTGCTAGGAATTTGATCATGCAACAGCAAAAATGCCACTCTCAGCCCTGGAGTCAATTGATCCTTACTGTGCATGCTCAATGAAATGCCAGAGATCTCAGAAAACCAATCATTCAATTGGTTACGCCGGGATATAGTGAGTACAAGCAATGAAAACTATGTTATGATTTCTTTATCCAAAGCGGGCTCCCTGTGGTCTGCTTCGACTACAAGGTAAGCGCTCGTTATGCCATCATTATTTATATAATTTCTGTAGCAAAAAGCGATTAGGAATATGAATTCTTCCCCTGGATGGAATGCTATTCTATGACAGGTTACCCCAACAGAATATATTTTAAAAATTCATCAGTGAGTTCAAGTGTAGTTCAAGGATACATGTCGATAAGTCGTTTCCTGCCGTTTCTCTACGACAACCCCACCACACAATCTGCATTTAGCTTCCTTATTAGTAGTTTGTTTTCTTCTTTTGCCCGGCATTCTTTCTCTCTTAATACTTACAGTTAACCTAATTAAATACCAACACACGAAGACCAACACGAGTTATCACGATCTTTTACCAGATGTTTTAGGCTTCCTTAAGATTTTTTGAGCTTGTTCTTCAAGTTCATAATACTGAAAATACCCCAGAAATTGCCGTCGAGAATATAAAAACGAATCGAATCTTAAAACTACATATAAAATATAGCTTAAGATTTGTGAGAAAGTCAAAACACTTCGAGGCTTCGGCCATGCGCCATGCTGTGATCCAAGCTGTACCAGGGGCATTGTGGGATAGAGAAGTGCTGAAATTTGTTATTTACGTTTCTCCTTTCTATCTCTTGTAGTTTCTAATTGTTTTATGTTATATAACACCAAGAGGTATTTTCAACATTGTCTGATCAGTCTGCAGTATAATAAGTGCAGTTTTTTTTTCTGGTTTATTTATTAGTATGCGCCGGAAGTAGAGATTTTTTATATTTACTGTCAATTCATGTAGAACGAATATCGGGTCGGGGGCCCCAAGAGATACAAAGAAAGAGAGAGAACGAACGAATGAATAAGAATAAAAAAGAAAGAAAACAATGAAAAAAGAAGGAACTATAAAGAAAGAAGTAAAGAAAGGAAACTAACAAAGGGGGAAGAACCTATTGAGCTTAGAATTTTATAAAACGTACATAGTTTCTCGTTAAAATGACTACAAGAGGGATGTTTGACTTATTTGGACAAGTTGTCAAGCTAAAAGCATCTGAAGACAAGCCATCACGTGGGATCAATTCTTGTAATACAATACGATCCATTCTAGCTTAGCAACAACAAGCTAATCTACCCGGATCAAATGGTTATTTCGCTTCACAGCAATATTAGTTTTGTACAACAAAATTGGAAGGAAAAGCACTCGGGAAAAAATCTGAATGGTAGGACAGTGATTTGCATTGAAAAAGTGACTTTTTAAACCTTTATTTAAAACAAAATTCTGCGTGGGAGATCCAACCAAAATATCATATGCTTAGACTAAATTACCTTCATGTAAGGAGGCTTCACAATTAATCTACATTTATAAAACAATTTTCATTCGCTACGGACCTTCAAAAGAGCAAAATCACTTCAGCATAGTCTTATTTAATGAACAATGGCGCTAGAACGAAGCAAGGTGTTTTATAAATTCGAACTCTTTAAGTATTTATTCGGAGCAATATTTGCCTGGTCGGATGTTGGGTCTGACATAGCAACTTGTATCTTGTACTATCGACGTTCACAGTTCGAAGAGTTTGGATTTTGCTTGGCTTTTGCCCTCGCTCCTTCAATATTCATGACAGTAGCTCATCTTGTACAGCATTTAAGGTCGGATGGAATCGTGAATATCATTGGTAATTTGGTTTATTATGCATTCTTTGGGTCTGGAATGATGAAGATGAAATTGTTTATATTGTGTGTAAAGAATTTTAAAGAGGTTTGGAGTCGACCAGGATATCTCGTGATGAAAGAAGACGAAAAGAACGATATCCGGACAGTTGCTGTCTACGACTACATACAAACACTCCTGGAAGACATCCCTCAAATGGTGCTCCAAATCTACACATTAACACAGCAGGACACGTCAAATATTCATTGGATTCAGTTCGTATCGATTGCTTTGTCTTTTGTAAATTTGATATTAACACTGGCCTTATTTGAAAACAATACTCTCCCAGGCGTACAAAACGTCAAAGCTTATATTCTTGTTATTCTATTTTACAACACTTTTCTTCTTGCTGCACGTATTGTGACAATAGTATCCTTTCTTATCGGATTTTCTTGGATTACAGCTATCATTTTGGTCGTCCATGAGCTGGTTTGCATTGTATTCTACTACATCAAAAACCGAAAACGCTTTACGGACAAAGACGTTTGGTGGGTTGCTATTATCCTTCTTCCCTGCTATATCTTCACCTACTTAGGATTCAAGGTCAAAGAGATTCGTTTGCGTTCATTCGAGCTCAAGATATCGAGGTCTCTCCTCTCGTCCAGCTTGTACTACGCGACATTTACCATAGAAAATATTATGATGATGAGTTTATATTATTCCAAGGCTAGTGTAAGAACATGGTACTCATCTGGCGCCACAGCTGCGGTTATAATGATGACCTTAGTGGGAGTTTTCCTGAACCTTATATTCACTAATTTGTACTTCAGGGATTATCACCGCACGAGGCACATGATAAGTCATCAAGGGGTCCGCAGGGCGTCCAGGTTTGAACGAAATTCCAGGGTACGGTTTTCTCGCAGTGTTCGTGTCCATCCGCATCCCTTGGATCGAGATCAGACTGTTACTGAAGTTATTCGTTAACATGTAACATTCTGCTGCATTGCAATTGCCGGCAAGACCTATATCTCGCGGTGGGCAAATCTCCTTTAAATGTTTCTTCAAATGTTTCTTGTGAAGTCACTCGTAAGCGAGGCTAGCGGGTCAATTGACCTACCGTATTCTCGTTTGCGCGTAATGTTTCTTCATCCTAGCACCGCGTGCCATTATTCGCCCCATGTAAGGGAATCCGGACTTATGGTGGATTCCGGATTCCAAAACTTTTGTATTGTGGATTCCGGATTCCATATCGTTAATTTTCAGATACTTTCTCTGAAAATTATATTTGATATACTTGCCAGTGTAACTAGGGAGGTGTCCCTGTTATATATAACTAGCGTGATAAAAAAACATTTGACAAAAGAGCATACATTAAGTTTCAGGCACCATGACGTATTGCAAATAGCCCACTCCTCCTTTTTGAATTCATTTGTCATATAACCTCTAATATTAAACGACAATTTCCTGATCTAAATTTCAATTTGATTATTGTTAAAGCGCGCCTTTTACATTACCAACATATTGAATTGTACTTGTACAAGGCCTGGATTCCGGATTCCAAAGTGCTGGATTCCGGATTCCAAAGCCTAAATTTTCATGGATTCCGGATTCCGGATTCCCTTACATGCAGCGACATTATGTATGATTGCTAACGATTCCCTATTTTGAGTTGACACACTGAATTTTTTTTTATTTTTATTTTTTAATTTTTTAAATCCAAGCATAATTCTTAGCATTATATAATGCGAAAGGAGATATAAGAGGTTAATGCTATCGAGGATATCTCCTAACATCGAATTGGAATTAAGAAGTCGATTTTTGTGTAGGGAGGATATCCGGAGAACCTGGAGAAAAACCCTCGAAGCACAGGAGAGAACCGATCGCATTGGTGAGAGGCGACACATTAGCAATGCAAGCCCGAACCCGTGTTTCTGAAAAAAAACTACATTGCACGAGTTGTTCCATTTGCAACAGGTACAAATATCTTTTTATTGTGAATAGGGAAAACTTAATGCTATGACAATTATCTGTGAGTCCTATTGTATTAGTTTCCGAGAATTAATCAAATGTTACTCTAGTATTAATAAACGTGCTTCTAGACATAATTCCAAGAAATTTCTAGCATTTCTTTATAGGGGTAACTACTTTGTGCCTTACCTTCCAAATAATGGGTTGAAAATCCTAATCATGTTATTTTAACAAGTTTTTCAATTAACTCTACTATGAGAAGAAGCACGGCTAGTTCAATGTTAGTTCTGATCTATTGGTTCTAAGGACACTCTGGAGAAGGTCGGCCTGCAACAAACTGAAGCGAGTTTATCGTATGATCATCACCTCCACTAGTTGGCCAGACCAGCATGACTACTTCAAGAGCGTTATCAAAAGCAATGATGCAATGCCTACCAATGCCAACTTGTCTCCATCAGTCAACGTTTTAGCATTACTGAGACCAATCTCTTCTAGGTAGTAGTTGCAGTAGTTTTGGCAGTTTTTACAAAACTTGAAGTACTTCCCAAAATTCTTCATAACTGCGACCGCTTTCGAGATGAGATCACCAGCTGTCCCCTCGATTTCACCATGGTAAACGAGTTTTTTTTTTGGAATCTGGCGAGAGTTTCCGTGTTACGGGATAAATCCGCTTCACTCCGTCAACTGTAATGAAGCCCAGCTCTACTGTAAAGAAGCGTTCGTCGTCAGCTGTAAGCACGATTGACTTGTGAGCGGCAAAGCTACTTCCTCGAATGGAATACACTTGAAATGTTTTTTTCTCCTTTAAGTCTGGAATGGAGCCTTCTTGCAGTAGTTTTTTAAGTGTTTTTTTATATTCTTCGAGAAAGTTTTTATCGTCGAGCATTGGCTCGGCAAATGTATCATGGCTGATATCAGACATAACAATAACACTAGTCGACTCTTAAAACTTTAGAGACCGAAGTCTTTGAGACAGGGCAGGCAACTGAGTGCGTTTCTATCTTTCTTGGAATTATATCTTCTGTATGCGCATGCTCTTGATAAGCCAACAAGCAGAGAGCATGCGCAATTAGAATTTCTCATTTCCCGTTTTTCTTAGAATCAGTACAATTATAATAACGGCAGGTGTCATAAAGATCTCATGAATATCCACGAGTCTCATGGACTGTTAAAGAGGGACCTTCTCATAGGTTATATGAAGTTATCACTATCAATTGATTGACAGTGCTACGCCTGAAGACGGCTAGAGTTTCCTGTGTATCGTAGAATTCAGCCAGCCGACTTCATTTCTAGGAATCATCGTAAACAACTACGAAGAGCTGAAAATGGAGCGACGCTTGAACCAGGAGTTCCTTGGAAATTTCAGCTTGATCGTCCCTTTTAGGAAACGTATTTATTGATATAGCTTATCGATGCAGCTTCTTTTAAAGCAATGCTCCTATTTGTCCTAGATATATATAGAGTTCAATAGCCCATTCACACCAAGGCTTAAACATGTTTTAAAGTGGTTTAACTAAACAGGTTTGGAAAACTATCTACGAACACTGCACAATATTTGGTGAAATAATGCATGTAAACTATCCTTTGTCTTGCTCTGACAATATTTTAGAAAGTTTCATTATATTGTAGGTTTCTAGTTTCTCAATTTTTTCCCTAAGGAAAACATAGTTTAACTAAACACGTTTAGGTGTGAATGGGGTACAAGCCTGTTACTCTTGCCATTATCTTACAGTCAAACCAGGTCAAGCGTACCCACCAAGAATGCATATTCATTCGATCATATGTGATTTGTTTACAGCCATTTCAAAAAAGGTTGATACTAAATACTGCAATTTTATATTTATTTTTATTCAGTTAATAATTCTTTTAAAAGCATTTGCTATTCTATTTATCTATTCTAGTACTTAGATCAGTATCTAAGTACTGTTTAATAAACGAGCAAGAGTGTTTTATCTGGTATAAAACACGAGGCGTAGCCGAGTGGTTTTAGACCCGATAAAACACGATCTGCGAGTTTATTGAACGGCTTAAAAAACTCCTGATGTATGTTCTCATACTGTACCGAATTTTTTACGAAATGAACCAAGTTTGATAGAGAAAATCCAAGTTAAAGTTTATGCAAATGAAGACGAATCTATATCAGATATAAAACCTCCTTCATGGTCATGATTTCTATTATGTTTCCTTCATGAATTATTAATGAGTTTTTTAATAAATATGTTTTTACCATATTTACTTGATTAAACGCCTCCAGCGTTTATTTATGAAGTGGGCCTCGTTGACCCGGTGGTTTATTTGGTATCCAGAGTTTTTTTATGGGACCTTTTTCTCGAGATGATAGGTCAGCGAGCATTAAGGCCGGTTTAGGCGGTACGATTTTCGCCTACAGCTATCGTATATAACACGCTCGCGTCTGTTGCCCGAGCAACTGATTATTTACAGTGATATTCAGTGAAAGTTTCTGTAAATAGAATCAGGACTGAATACTATACTACCGTATCATAGTTTGAAATAGTGATTTACTGATGTTTTCGTTAGTGTACTCAGTATTTGTAACTTTTAAACTACTGATGGTGGTTTCGAATAAATTCCGGGAAACCGGAAAAGCAAATATACGATATATCATTTTTATACAAATGTTGTGTCTCTCGTTTTCTAAATGTTACTGCTCCCCAAGAAGTTTTAGTAACAGTCCCTCTTGGTCACCTTTGAATGTGTCCTTGACTTCGGATTCAAGGGTCTTGCCGAATAGTTCGATGTATGCTAACTTGATCTCGATAAGATCAATCTGAAATAATTATAAAATAATAAATAAGCATCATTAAAAGCAGCAGAAGTTAAAAAAGAATGAAGAAGAGGAGAAAGAAATGAAGAACAAGAAAACGTATGCCACCTGCGTTCATCGATGGTCAATGTGACGCCCTTCACGGACCAACTCACATAGGCAACCCACCCGGTAAAAAAAATTATTACCTCAGATCGAGCAATGATGATACGAGTTACGGCTGCATTATTGGTCATCATTCCATTCATTGTTGAGTGAAGACACTCGGCAAAATACTTGGGTGGATCACTTGTACTCAGCACTGAAAATAACATCACAGGTACATTTAAACACTGTCAGTCTTTAAAAGGTCCCTTGGCGGAACCGGCCGAACAGTTAGTGTGGAAGACATGGTAAAAGCATAGTGCCATCTTCATGATCCGAACTACACTATTTTGTTTTCATTTTATTTTTCAATTTATGGGTAGTTCGTTCATTCGTTCCTTCGTCCGTTCCTTTGTCTGTTCGTTCCGTTCATTCGTTCGCTCATATCAGTGTCCGTCCGTTCATTCATTCGTTCGTTTATTCATTCCAGAAGATTTTCAAATTACACAAAATTTGCAAATATGGATTATGAAGTTACTTCTTTTAAAACTCGTTTCTTACCAATAGTTCTTACTGCATCGTGAAAATCCCCTTCAAGCTCTTCTTCAATGGCTTCAAGGATTTCTTTATTCGAAACCTTAATGAGAGCAACGTTCTCTTATTAGCTTTAGCTATTTCAAATATTACGCATGATATGCTTTTTGTCTGCTTTGCGCAGCGCAAAATATTAAGCTTCACCAGAGTCATTAAATTCAGCGTGTCATGATGATGATGATGATGATGAGGGCGAGGAGGACGGGGACGGGGACGGGGACGGGGACGGGGACGGGGACGAGGACGAGGACGAGGACGAGGAGGATGATTGATGATGATGATGATGATGACTATTATTATAATATTTGTTAACTTTTCTCAACTCACATGCTTATAAGCCTGGAATATTGCTTTCAGTTGCATGGGGCTCCTTGTTGTTAAAATGTTAATAAACACTGACTCGTCTGTACCCCATCTCTTCTCTCCTGCCTAAAAATACAAACAATAATATCAAAAAATATCGTATTCCGGCTAAAGTTATGCCTCTCTTGAGACGAGAGATGCAAAAAACAACAAATAAAAAAAACAAAAACAAAATAAAACAAAACAAAACAAAACAACAACAACAAAAAAAACAAAACAAAAAAAAAACAACAACAAAAAAACAAAAACAAAAACAAAGAACAAAGAACCAAAAAGATCCAGTTAACTTGGCGAATGCCAAGGCCTCTTTTTCCTTTGTAGGGCGTACACGCATGTGCCTTGAAGGATTGGGGGGGGGGAGGGGGGATGGAGGGGCTGTGATTTGTAGTATTAGAGAGGCTAAGGAAATATTAGCCATCCGGTCCTCGTTTCTTTTTTGTTCAGTCGGCAACTGAAAAAGCTGAAAGAAATATTCGTTCTGCATTGCTATACCTCTAGTAGTCTTTGCGCATCTTGATACGCATCTTCTTCGTTGACGCTGTCAGAGCTCAGTCCTCTTTTACCCTAAAGCCGGTAAAAAGAATGAGGGGGTTATTCAAGATATTTTAAGCAGAGTGGTCCATTTATAAATATCGTGTATTATTCGGAGATACTAGTGTGCACCGCTAATCTTAAATCAGAATCATTGAAAACACGTTGTCGGGTTCAAAAAAAGGTTTTATTATATAATTACCAATGAAATATCTGTTTTTCTCTATTTCGAAAAATTGATATCTTCACACGTGAAAATAACATGTTATTTTCACGTGTGAAGATAACACCACTGCGATGGCTATTCAAAAATACACGGAAAGAATTGCCTGAAAAAGCCAAAACATACTTCATTGATAATTATATAATAAACAGAATATTACATGGACGCTTGGAGATACGAATTTTATCTTCTCGTGTTGAAAATCTCTCACTTGTTCGCTGCGCTCACTCGTGAGAGATCTTTTCAACACTCGAAGATAAAATTCGTATCTCCGCGCGCCCATGTAATATCCTCTATATATCATCAAAGCTAAGACCGAAGGGGAGCATGGGAAGACAAGCAATTATGCTAATTTCATGCGTATTGCAGTTTTCCCTTCATCGTTCATGTATCATGGCTTTGGCATGTTAATCCAGGTCGACCGACTTTGCTCTACTGTGAATTTTTACATGTCTATATGCAAATATAATACACATTTCRGAGTACCCAAAATCCTTTTCGGTCTTAGCTTCGATGATATGACCTTCTCGAACCCGACTACGTTTTTTCAATTAGGTGTATGTATGTATGATGTATGTGTGTATGTATCGAGCACTGAGGCATGTTATTCTGAATAGAACATCTAAATTTTGCCAGGGTGTTTGACACTAAAAAATATATAACAAATTCATATTATATTTAGGATTTGATTCTTGAGGAAAGAGTCGTTTCATTGTATTATATTAGGCTAGGTGGTCGGTTATAGTGACAGGTTCTTACCTGTAGAAGGGCAATCAGCACTGAACGGAAGTCCCCACTTGTCTCACCTTGAACTTCTTCAATGAGATCTTTTCCATAAACTATATATCCAGCAGTAATATCATAAAGAAAATGTAGATAATATCGTTACTTATTATTAAGCCTGGTTCACACGAGCAACGCAAGCGCAAACGCAAACGCAAGAAAACTACGTGTGAACTACAGTAACACAAACGCAAACGCAAACGCAAACGCAAACGCAAACGCAAGGAATGGAAAATTTTCCATTTTCTTGTGCTTGCGTTTGCGTTTGCGTTTTTAACGTGTAAACCGGAGAAAACGCAAACGCAAGCACAAACGCAAGACGTGGTTCACACGAGCAACGCAAACGCAAACGCAAACGCAAGGAAAATACGTGTGAACTATAAACAATCACTACTGCGCGTGCGTATCTTAATTTACTTGCATTTGCGTTGTACGTGTGAACATTGCTTGCGTTTGCGTTTGCGCTTGCGTTTGCGTTTGCGTTGCTCGTGTGAACCAGGCTTTAGACTGGAGGAAGAAGAAATCATTAAAAGATACCACACAGAAATCTAGACCACTATAAACTTGCATTTTTGCCATGCAGTACTATACGACACAGCAGTTATAGCAGGTATAATGATAATAATATAGTAGAATGATAGCGGCATCTTCCATAGCTGAATTACGAAGAACTCTGAACGTTATTATATCATGTTAGGTCACACAAAAAAGGGAAACGTACGCTCGAAAATCAAAAACGAGACAACACCGGCTGATATTTGACTCATGTATGCTGCAGTACAGTCATATACTCGTACAATAAAGCCATTAACTAATTTGGACCCATGTTTTGGCTTTGTTTAAACAATTATTACCTGTGTTGTAGGCTTGTTTGATTTCTTCAATTTGCTGAAAATGCAATAGTTAGAAGATGTATATGAAACCGTTCTATCGATGGTTGCCAAAGGCAAAGAGTGCCTATTTTGTTACTAAGAACGCGATTCCCCGCGTCATTACCTCTTGACTACATTGTCCTTTTTATAATTGTTATCTTACCTCATTGGTACGCGAACATATTATCTCTGTCAATAGGCTATCATCAGTCCCTATTCCCTGCGGATACAAAAAAGCGGTTAAATATATTGTATGCAAAAGAAATAAATATATAAACGGAAAGAGAAATAAACGGAAAGAAAGAGAGAAAGAAAGAAAGAGTCCGAAAAGAAGGTAGAGAAGAAAAGAAGAAAAGGCAGCGCACGCATGGATGAGATGAAAGCGATCAGAAGTGGATGGTATTCGAGTGGAATAAGATATGGAAAGACAGGAATGTATTGATGGATCAATTATCAATAATGGCAAATATTACCTTCATAGCAGAATAAAGCATATTTGCATCGTAAACGGCTGGTGATGACATCAGTCCAACTATGGCTTCCTCGAATTTACCGCTTAATTCAGACTTGAGCTCATCTACAAGATCCTACCAAAATCAAATACGATATTAAGGAAAAGCTTGTATATTAGATAAAACTCTTGTATACGACCCTAGCCCATGCGCGCTCTGTTGCCACCATTTATAGATCACGTGCCTTATTACCTTAATACCAGCGGCACATCAAAGAAGATCCATGGTTAATCCATGGTTATGGATAGAAACGACTGTAAGGCCCCGTTTACACTGGCGATTTTTGTGGCGATTTTTGCTGCGATTTTCGTGGCAATTTTCGGAAATATGGAATCTTTTGTCTCATCCTTCAAAAGAGACATTCGTCTAGGAAAATCTTGGTATCCTGAAAAAACTTTAGAAGTAAATTCTTTACCATTATTTACGCTAGTGTAAACGGGCCTTTAAAGTAGTTTGAGTTTATGATAACTTTAAGTAAGAAAAAGCTTTATGCTTCTTGAAGTATTTGAGGGAATATCATAGCTAGGGATAGGACGATGCTCCCTTCTTACTTTTCCATACTGTTCTTTGAAGGTAGCAGCAATTTCTTGTCTTTGTGAAGAAGTGCAAGCCGTGAGGACACTGATAATTGCATCTTCATCGCTACCTAAGAGGAAAAAAACAAGAAACAATGACTGACCATGGATTACCATTGTATACCCAGAAAGTAATTCAAGAAAATAAGTTAACCATACGAAATTTAAAACAAGCTAGACATGCATACAACTCAAAGAATAAACGTTAATGCCGTTTACATATCCACACAGAGTTCTTCAATTTCTCTCTCCGCAAAACCTAAACAGGAGCTGAAATCCAATTCGATGACTAAGTCGTGTTCTGACTCAGATCAGCCCAAACTTATGAAGGTTTATGCTCCCAATATATGTTACTGACTGTGACGTCACCCCAGGCTTCATTAAATATACAAATTTTGACTGATTCACAAAAACAAAAAGAATCATTATTTTACTCAAGGTTTCCACAATGTTTATTGTAAATCTAATGTCTCATAATGGCTAGTGTTTAGTATTTAAAATTAAAACAGATACTCTCAAAAGCCTGGGGTGACGTCACAGTTAGTAATATATTGGAAGTATAAACGTTCATAACTTAAAGACGCAACATTCAAAAGAAACATTTAACTATTCAGCCATTCACTTAACGTAGAATCAACTGAAAGTATTGTATCTCGGGTAACGTGCGCTTTAAGGGTATAGTTAAATTTAGAGTGAGTTTAAACATGATTTTCTTACCAAAGCCTTTCATCGCCTTCTTCAGTCTTTCTGCATCCCTTACGGCATCAAAGTCCTTGGCAGCAACTACCGTTCCGTGGTATTCGATCTGTAAGAGCCAAACATCATCATAAGCTCGTCTTCATATGAAGAAACGTGTGTGTTGTTAAGCCGCCAATATTCAGAAGCCGATTCAAAATTTCCAATTAAAATAGTAATTATATTAAGATTTGGAAAAATAAATTTAAAATGTGTCATCAAACGCTAGAGCAACATCCACACCCAAAACTACGTTCAGTGTTCTTTTTTTTTCCTTTGAAATGTTTTAAAAGTTCAAGAAATTTTATATTTGAGTTGCAAATGTGTGAAAAAGTGCAGCGTGTATAACTTTCCTGTTGATTCAGGGAGCCTTTCCTTAATTCTTTTTTAAGGAATAAGTTTTTAAAACTTACTTTTTTTACGTGGAGTTTTGGTCTTTCTTCATTAGTCTCATCTTCTTCCTCTATCTTTTCTTCTCCAATCTTTCCCTCACTGTTTGCAGATTGATTTGAGTTGCTTTTCACAGAATTTTTTCCTTGGCTGCCTCGCGATATTTTCCTAGATTTGCCATTCGTCTTGTCTTTCGTCTTATTATTTTCATCTATCCACACATGGGATATTTATTGAATAAAGTCAATATTTTATAATTCTTTTAGGGACCGTATAGTTATTAGTTATTATAAAATATTTGAGAATTAACGCGCGCGCTGATTGGCTGGCTAACGTGTTTGTGTCAGAGGACAGAGACACACTCGCGCAAAATCATTCAAAAATATTTTATTTAAGGAATATAAAAGGCGCGCGCGTGTCTCTGTACTGTAATGTAAACACTCTGGGAGCTGTAGAGCACTCAAGAAGCAAGAGAAACGCTCGGCTACGCCTCGTGTTCCTAAGCTTTCTTCTCTCTTGCTCTACAGCTCCCAGCGTGTTTACATTACAGTACAGAGACACGCGCGCGCCTTTTATATTCCTTAAATAAATATTAGTATAATTCTAGACTTGAATATAGCCTATATAACTCAGATGTTTCGCGCGCGCACTGTAATTGGTCGAGCGATCAGTGATTATGATTATGATATTCACTTCGCCTTCGGTGAATAATTGTCAAATAATGACCGGTGCCTTAGATATTCAAGTAATTTGAAAATGATCACTGAAAAGTTACCTTCAAGTTTTGGTAAAATAATCTTCTTCAGGTCGTCACTACACTTGTTGTTGACTTCATTATAAAGTGATAGTTCATAGGTAGAATTGTAGGAAGCTTCAACGGCTGACAACTTTCCCTTTAAAAGGAACGAATATGTTATGCCTACTATATTGAATAAAATCGGACTAGTAAAACTTGAAACGATCAAAGAGCAATGGGAAAAATGCCCACTTTGAAAACACAATGATGGACGATCTAACACTAAATGCAGTACTGATTAAAGGCAGTTTCAGAAATTAAAGGAGTTTGAAAAATACACGTTTACCATTTTTACCGGCTGGCTGGTGAGTGTTTAAACCTGAACTGAACGTTTCCAGCCTTGTCGCTGTTCTCAAAATTTCCCGCCATTTTTTTTGGACATGCGCAGAATATGTGTTTCCGTTTACAAAGAGAAACTAAGAAAAAGGTTACTCCTCTTGTTTTTGCTAGACTGGATTATATATAGCTATATTTCTTCTTCCATACCTGGTCTGTAGCGGTAATGATCCTAGCAACAGTACAGGTATCATGATCTTGTAGAGCCGTGTACAGTTGGTCAGCCATTGCTTTAGACTCGTCTTGTATACACGATAACAACATGATCAGACCATCTTGAAGATCACCATCCATCTCGTCCTTGATAGATTCCTCCAGTTCTACTCCAGACAGCTTGATGTATTCAGCCATCATGGCTTTGAGATGAACACTGTTTCGTGTCGACAGAATTTCGATGAACTTGTCCTCGTCTGTACCCCATTTCTTAACGCCTGCAATGTATAACGCTGTTGCATCTTTACGGGCTAATTCTTGATTTACCTTTGTAGAATCGTCTCGAATTCCCTACAATACAAAGATGTTTTTTGATCATACGAATTTCATTTTAAATTTTATTTTGCCGCGCCCTTCGTTAGTCGAAAGTCTTTTTTTACTCCAGTACTTCATATCGCGATAGGGTTCGCTATGCAAAAGTATGTGGCATTGGAATTCTCTCTCGACTCTCTGCGCATGCCTTCACATTGGGCACTGACAAGCAAGGACCTCTGTCATCCAGGGAAACCTTTAAGCGGCTCAAAATATTGACAATCTCCCGAGGGATGGATTGAATACATTATGGAAAGTGCTTTGGAAATAACAAGACAACCTCTGGTCATAGGTCATTTTGGTCACCTTTCTTCATCGAACACATCGATCTTAAAGCCCTGACTAAATGTTTCATAAGGTGGCAAAACTGTCAGGGAACATCGTAAAACATGATTACTCAATATCGGTTAGCGCATGCGCACTTTCAAGATAGAGATAGCGTTGCTAAGTAACGAACTTTTAGAATGTTGACTTTCGTGGCTAAACGAGGAAACATTGGGAAACATTGTTTCCATGCGTCTTGGAAGCATGAAATGTTTCTGCCGCACAGCAGAAACATGTATTGCGGCTTTGAAGCAAAATTTGTTGCACGTAGCAATGTTTCGCATGTGGCTAAACTTGGAAACATCGGGAACATGCGCGCGGGAAACATGTTTCCTCGTTTAGCCATGGCTTAAGTCTCATCTATGGAAACTAAGTTGCAAATGACATGAGACATGAAGAAAAATATCTGAAAGTTTGATAGCGGATGCCACAGGTTATATTGCGGAGAGAGAGTCCGTAACCCGGATTGTCCATGACGCTCGTTCTTCATGCCTTACCTTCATCAAAGCAGTCAGTAGGTTTTCAAAGTCTCCACTTGTTTGATATTTGACATCTTCTTCCAAAGATCTTCCGTATTCTATAAACAAAAGGGTAAATTTTTTTTTTTTAATTTGCCCTCAACATATCATATCACTTAAGGAAATGGGCAGAGAGTGCGGGGCTATAGGTCCCTAGTATCACAGTTTTCTGCGTCATGGAAAACTTCCCACCGACATGAAAGCGTATAGTGTTCTATATAATTAACAAAAAACTTTCAACAATGGTACTCTTACTTTTTTGGTATTCTTTCTTGATCTCGATCATTTCCTTTAGAATATGCAAACAAATATATGTAGAAGATTAACAAAACATATCATCAGTGCGTGTATTTGATATACCTGTACGTATCGTTCAATACTCACCTCGTTCGATTTCGTACAAAGAATTTCAATGAGATGAATCTCATGGGTACCGATTCCCTGATATAAAAAAATCATTATTAGTGATCATTTCTTGGGAGTGATGCTTTTACTGTCACATTCTAAAAATATATGAAAAATATATAAACGAGTGGTGATAACTAGTAGAGTACTAGTGTGGACTGCGTCGGTGTTTCTGATTAAAACAGTAGGAACTTGTAGATAAATTGAATCACCGTAAAAAGCTTTGTAAAACTGACGTTTCGGACGTTAGTGATTTCTCATGCTTCGCTTTCCATTTCTCACTTATTGTTTTTTCCATCCTTTTGTTTCCTTTTATTTCTTCATATGCTTATTTCTCATTGGTCATTTTATTTTCCACCTTAGTGTTTATTCACCCCTTCTCATCTTTTCTTTCCACTTACTCCGACGAAGAACGTCCGAAACGTCAGTTTCACAAAGCTTTTTACGGTGATCCAATTTATCCATAAGTTCCTTCTGAAAAATATATAATTGCGTCACAGCTTGGGATATAATCAACGATGTGAAAGCCCAGATTATTGCTAGTTTTCAATCATTCCCAACACGGCGGCCATGTTGGATGATATAACAAAAGGCTAATGACGAATCGTTTGTTAAATTCATCTCCGACATGGCGGTTGTAAAAACCATCGATAAGAAACGTTCATACTTTCATTGCGTAGTACAACATCCTAGCATCGGCCTGAGATGGTGGCAGAAGCAGAACTGTGATCGCTTCGTGAACATCGTCTTCTATTTTCGAGTCCAGTTCGTCAACCAAATTCTAAAACAAATACAGAATATGGGAGTAAGAAAGGACAATCGCTGCAGGTTTAAAAAATCCGGAAAAAAAAGTCTGGTTTAAACTAGCGACGAAGAACGAACTTAAACGCCAGCACAAACGCAAGCGCAAGCAGAAAGAAGAGGAAACATTTTGATCCATATGCTTGTGTTGATGCTCGTGCGTGCGCTTGTTCAGCATGTTTTCGTGCACAGTGAAATAATCAAGGAAGCTTAAGGATGCCTGTGCTTTCGCTGCGAGTGAAAAACCAAGCTTAAAAAACTATCATTTATGGATTTATGGATTAATTCAGTCACTAATTTAACTCGGCGCAGCCAAGAAGAATATTCCTCTTACCTTCTTGTATCTTTTACTGTAATCCTCGTATAATTTCTTCATTTTGATTTCATCTGCCGCGTTTCGGACAACTATTTCAGTAATCTTTTTCTTTTCCATGTCTGTAAAACAAAATGTATTACCAAGACCCTTCAGTACATGGAAACAGTTTTGACCTCCAAAAATACTTTTACCCCAAACTCCACAGTGGTTCGATCTCCCTTATCGGTTCATTCGCACTAATAGGATTTTCTCCCTTCTTTGTCTTTGGTTTGCATTTGGGATTCCTGTGGCAGCGTAGGGACAAGGGAAGGATGAAGAAGGATAAAGGACGAATTAAAAGAGATGCCTATCTTGAATCAGTCTTCTCGTTCGTCTTATCTTTCACTTGTTCGCTCTGGTATGTCCAGGAGCCCACCCCTGAAACATGCATCCATAAATTAAAAGACACCTTTGTGAAGGGTAGGTTAACGTGTTGATTTTTTACGAAGTCAGAAAAACTGAAGAACCGGGTACCAGGAAAATGCCTATGCCTCGGCCCTCGACACAAGAAAATGAAAAAGATATCAAAGTACTTAGTACGTCAAGACCCCCCCCCCCCCCCACTAGAGTGGTTACCTCTGTATCATTATTATTAGGATAATGTTAGGAATAATTATTATTACTTTTGATAGCTCTATACAGCAAGCTGCAGTCTTCTCCTTTTTCCTTGTTAGTAGCATGCGCATTAACAGCAGGATTCCTTGATGGCTGTTTCTTATTGACAAAGATACTCTGTTTTCTTGCACCAGCCTATGTTCAAAAGTAAGCCACCAAACATCTTATTGGCCATTTCAAGGTTAAAGGAAAAAACTGGGTCGAGATGGAATTGTAGTGCACTCTGGGACTGTTTTAGCGGACATATTTCCAAGATGGCGTCTATGTCTTTCCCCAAAACTACCACAATGCACTGCATTGTCAACTCGACCCAGTGTTTTCCTCAACCTCGGAATATCTAATAAAAAACTTAATTCAGACTAACGGGGGAAAATTTGCTCATTTTACTAGAGAGTTGGCCCTAGAAATGATTACCACTTTTTTCACTGGTACGCGCTGATCGAGACAACAGTCGCAACAGGGAAATAGGGCAATACACTGCCGTCAATCAGAGAAAAAGGTAACGACCAATTTATTTGACTGACAGAAGTGTATTGCCCAATTTTCCTGTCGCGACTGTTGTCTCAATCAGCACGTAGCAATGAAAAGAGTGGCAATTGATTTTTATTCTTATTTTCTATATCAGGCCTTTCTCATAAAGATAGGGTGACCCTGGTGCTAGGGACAAGTCTTTTGATTTCCTTCCATCAGCAGGAAACATGACTAAAACAAAAAGAGTTATAGCCCCTTATTTAGCAGTAGGGACCACACCCACATTTATGTAACGTCATCTAATTACAACTATAGCGCCCATCCCCCCAAAACAACCTTGATTGCTGTGACCCTATCTTGTTCTATCGTGTGTTCGATCTTCAAGTCAAATCATTTTCAAATATTTTTGTGAAAATTGTTTTTAAATCTTGCCTTATGTGGTAGCTTTTCTTTCTCTTGCTTCTTATCTGTGTGAAAAAAAAAGAAAAGAAAAAAATTTAATCAAAATAAATAAAAAATATTAAAATATGGCACTTCTATAGACTCCTTGCAGCACTTCGGGATGCAGTTCAATTTGGAGGACATAACAACAGGTTTCCAATTCGCAGAAGATTGAAATTCTTTTGTTTTGTCCTACAAATTGAGCTGCTTTAACGTCACATGCAAGGGGTCTATTGTATTCCCTAGAGCAAGTGTCTTCAAATAATCTTGTAACGGCCCGGATAGCGAGAGACTGTACAGTGTGTATACCGTCAATCGTCGGCTTTCTGGAGGATCAACCGCTAAGGGCCACAGGTTTGTTAGCCACTGGCTGTATTATGTACTACCCTCGTACGTGACGCACGTGACGCACCTTTTAGTTTTGGTAAAATTATCTTTTTCAGGTCTTCGCTACACTTCTTGTTGACTTCGGAATAAATCTTGGGTCTGTGGTGCAAGTTGTAAGCATTCTCGATGTCAGTCATTTTGTCCTGGGTTAAATTAAAAAAAAGATTATTGTACAAATAAGATAATAAGATAATAATTATGTACGATAATTCTTCATACATTCAAAAACCTACAAAATATGGCAGGGTGAGAAAACTGGTCGGAAATCGAAGAAAAAGTACACGTTAATAATAGCGAAGCAAAGAAACCTAAAATGCATTTATTTCTTTACGTCGTTCATGCAGGGGATCATAAATCGGCCGTGCCTCCTTAAGTTTTGGACTATATTTGTTTACATTTCCTTTCAGTGTAAAAGAGTAATTTTGAAAGAGGAGGCTCTAGCATTCAAAGCACAGTTGTTCTAATAAGTATGAATGATTTGCGCGTCTAGTTCCTATTGTTTTAACGCTAAGGATCATGCATGGTCGCTGGAGGGGATGAAATGACAACAACACATCTTAAATCACAATGAAATTTGGTTTATGAGCTGGTGAAGGCAAGAACAACTAAATATTACACTAAATATCTCGAAAGAAGAGAATTAAGCTTAAATCTGGTCTAAATTTCTATCATCTTAGCCGATGCAAACAAACCGTGACGTCATTATGAAATAGGGCAATTGTCATTTTAAGCCGCCCCCTCCCCTCCCCAATTATGCTTCATCGTCCTTGAGCGATTTTGCGGTGCCAAAATCATACCTGTTCTGTAGCGGCAATAACTCTAGCAATAGTACAAGTATCATGATCTTGTAGAGCCGTGTACAGTTGGTCAGCCATTGCTTTAGACTCGTATTGTATACACGATAACAACATGATCAGACCATCTTGTAGATCACCATCCATTTCGTCCTTGATAGATTCCTCCAGTTCTACTCCAGACAGCTTGATGTATTCATCCAACATGGCTTTGAGATGAACACTGCTTCGTGTCGTCAGAATCTCGATGAACTTGTCCTCGTGTGTACCCCATATCTTGACACCGGCATTGTATAAATCCGTTGCATCTTTCTGGACTAACTCTTCGTCTATTTCCGTCGATTCGTCTCGCGCACCCTTTTAAGGCAACAAAAATTCTAAGTGGTGACTTCAGGGTGGCGTAGCCGTTTTTAAACTCGCCTCTCACCTCTTGGCACGGGTTACGGGTTTCATCCTGGCCTCGGCATCAAATTTGAGTAAAGGTTCTTAGGACTCTCTCTCTCTTGATACGAGGTTTTTCTCTAAGTTCTCCGGTTTTCCTCCCTCTGCAAAACCTAACACGATAATTCCACTGCAGGGAGCCCAATTTGCCAATTTTTATCTAAATTGAGAGCGAGCCCTGATTTTGACCAGCACAAACATCGTTTCAGGGCCAGACAAAATTTGAAGGTTTGAAGTGAGTCGCGTATGCTAGCTTTGCTCGCTAAAGTTGGTCTGGGAAAATATCCGTTACCTTGAGAAGGTCTGTCAAAAGCTTCTCAAAATCATCTGACGTGTCGCCTTTAACATCTTCTTCCAATGAACGCCCATATTCTATTAAAAATTAGACAAAGTTATCATATAAGAGCAATCTGATTGGTTGAATAAGATTTCAGAGTCGGCCTTAGACTTTTGTAGGTAAGGAATTTGAATTCTGATTATTTATTTATTTATTTCATTTTATTTTATTTGGATCATATTATTGTAGTTTTAGGATTGGTCAGTATATTTGAAAACAGACTTATTCAATTTGGACGCACGTACAGTTTTGCCATTATCCTGCGTCAGAAAATGTCAAAATTGCGCAATAGTACTCAAGGGTCTTCACTGCACTACCTAAATGTCCTTTGCTCAAATATGATACAGAAATCCCGTGTAAAGTCTGATATTCAAGTGATAGTTCCTAATCAATGTCTAATTTATCAAAAGTGATTGATTGGGGGTGGGGCTGCGAATCACGTTTCGGAAAGTTATGTCTACGCATATTCTTTTTTCGTTAGTTGCTGAAATTCAAGGCTCAGTGCAGGATTAGGAATGACTTTGGTGTATAAACTGACCAAGAAAGTTCAAAATGCCGTGAAAATATCTTTCTTTTAAATTTGTCTACTCAATTTTTAACTCGTGGATACGCGAAGCGTAGAAACAATTTATTATGAGGGGTCTGAATATGCAAATGTGTCACTCACTCGCTCACTCGCTCACTAAGATGTTAGCAGATCGATAATTCAACGTTTAACGATCGTCTTACGTCATCTGATTACGAACGTTACACGATACTAACAAGCCACAAACTTTTCATTAGATTTCAAAACGAGAGTCACGGAGCCTTGAAGAAAGTTTTGTCATCCAAATAAGCTGTTCTAAATAAAAAGTAGATTGATCGTCGGACATCACAAACAGCCGAAGCAATGTTCTTGTATCTAACTGCGAAGGTACAAATCTACTCAATAGATGTCGCTCGAGACTAACGAGAATTCGCTCCAATAAATAATTAGTAATTTACAGTCGACTTGAATGAATTCAAATGAAATAGTATTTCTAAACGAATTTTTATAAAATATTCGCTCATTTCACAGTGTGAATATGAAGATACTAAATGGCCGGCAGTTTTTTCCCCCCGGGATTTTCCTCTGCTAGACTTCAATTTGAAGGATTGTGGTAGATAGAAATAGGTTACTCAAAGATAGAAAAGTTTCACTATTCTATATTCTATTATTTTAAAATCAAAAAAGAAAAACGGAAAAAAGGAGCGAAATCGTGAGTAGGTTTAATGATTAGGTCACCCATCCAAGTGCTAACCCTCCTCAGACGAGCTTGACTCAGTATCTTGAACGAGAACGATTTATCCACTGGACCACGGTTTCAGGTGAATCAGCATAACAATAGCCGTGAAAGCAATGCACCGAATAGACTAGACTTTTTAACATTATACTGTCAACCGATTCCGTGCGTGGCAGAGATGCAAGGGATTAGCCGATATGGTCTGGGGGCCGGCTGGTCTCTCCCCTGATGCTCCGGCTAGAACATTTTCTTGCGTAATTCGTACACCCAAGGGCAGAAGGATTTAATCGCCGTCAGGTCCGAAGTCCATACGACGCCTCAGCTCTGCGGATGTCTCGGGGGTATGGCAAAGTGGAATCGTATTTTTGGAATTTTTTTTGGTGGGTTCGAATCAGTCCCATCTTATCCATATAAGATTTTTCCTTTTTTTTTTTAATACATTTTTTATTAGATTTAAATCTTCAACAATAAAGCAAGCGGTTTAGTGAAACAAAATTTATTCCTAGTTGGTTGCTTATAAGCCTATAATATAATATAAGTTCAATCAGACGTTATCAGTCATATAAGCAATATCGATCCGCGAAAAGTAGAGCTATGCTTTCCTTTCTTTTCTGGCAAAGTTTGCTGACAAGAGCTAGAACCTTTACAGAACTTGGATCTCTATGTCATATGACCGCAAAGGACTAGTGGATAGTGCCGTGAAGACTTCTGGGTACTATTGCAAAATTTCTGATAAATATCTGATAAATAATATAATAAAAAAGGGTGGTAATAAAATAAATACATTGTTGATTCTGACTGAGAACATATTTGATCTTGTTGCTTCATGGCGCAAGATCAAATTCACAAGTAGTGTGACACGTATAACGCAAAACTGTTTATTTTATAGCCTAAAGAAGGGCAGAACCTGCAATTATTTTTAAAATATGTATAGAACACCTTAAGGGAGAAGATCGTCTTAGGTGAGTTAAACGAAATCATTCTTTTCTGTGAAACATTCCATCATCTTTTGACTAACATTGCAAACTACCCTTCAGCTGTACTAATCCTCTCTGCATGATACAGGCAACCCAGTGAACGCCTATTGGGCGTCTTGTCTTTTTAACTCTCATACAACAACAACAACAACAACAACAATAAAAATTTATTTGGCACTGTATACTAGACGTACTTATATAGTAACCCCGGTGGTGGCCTTGGAAAGGGAAGTGGAGAAGCGCCCGGGGGTAGGGGGAGGGAGGAGAGGGAGGGGAGGAAGGGGAGGGGAGGGGGTAGAGGGGGGGAAAGGCATTTCTACACATTACAGTGCAAATCGAAAACCCATGGGCACCTAGAAATATTTCAAGAATGTTCAATAGCCAATCACAAGCGTTATTGTTATCTATTTTTCCGTTATCTTGTGGTTAGAAAGTCAATTCTAATTGCCCAAAGAAGAATAGAACATTCCTAGAAAATTTCTAGGTATGGCCACGGTTTTTCGAATCCCACTGTGATGGGTCACGTTTTCGTACTTACTTCTCATGTATTCTGATTTAATATCTCTTATTTGCTATAGGAACACAATCAAAGAAAACCAACAATTATAAGCCGTTAACGTGCAAGTGTACTTGTTACTGACAGCAGATATTTTTTTCTTATTCGAGATCCGCACGCAGGGTGGTGCTGCACAATAGGACTCAGGGTCCACTTGGAAGTACATTACAACAATTTCCAACCCCCTTATAATCCTCATACCAATCCCACAAGCAAACCACTAAGAAATCATTAGTAAAGGCCAGACACTGAGGGTGGTCACTGCCAGGGTTTTACCTTACTTATAAGTTACGTCCTCACTAGTCCTTTTACGTCCCTCTTCGTCTCTCTGATGGAGGGTGAAATAGTGTGAAGAGACGAGACCGCCATTAATGATGGTCATTTGGCTTTAGTGTTGGCGATAAGATAAACCCAAAGCGAACGAGAACCCAGGGTTCATGTTATAACGAAGGTATGCAGACACTAGGTAAACTCTTCGCCGAGAACAAACTGAATGCAGAGAGAGGTTTGTTCAATGACGCACTGGGCTACAACGGATACTCACCTCATTATTACGAGTGCAGAGAATTTCTATCAAAAGAGTTTCTTTGGTACCGAAACCCTAAAGAAAAAAATATGAGGATTAGCGTTTTATCAGCGTTTACCGCCAAACACAGGAGATGTAAGCACGAGGCCGTGGACGGGTGGGAAAGATACAACCTCGTTCCTAGGGCCTTCTCTTCTGTTTTTTTTTTTTTTCAAGATGGCGGCGCGAAAAAAAACAGAAGAGAAGGCCCTGGGAACGAGGTTAAAAAGATATATTCCAAAAATCTCAGATATATAATTTGTCATCCTCCACATCAATGTACTATAATTATAGTGACTCGAAAACTTGGGCTCTCTGTGGCTTAGTTATATTAATAGACTAAAACAGGTGAATAAGAAGGAAAATAAAAAACACCTTGTGAAAGAGTTTGTACTAACTATATTAAAGTTAGTACTCAGAAGAATTAAGGACCAACGTCTGAACACGAATATTTTAGAATACGTAATTATTATCTTAATTGTATCATCACTCTATAATCCCATATAAGCAACTATTGTATTATTTTCAAATTCTCTTTCCTGTCCAAATTAAAGATTAGTTTGGATCGTTTCTATTTGCATTCTTTCGAGGGAAAACTATGACTTATGGAAACAGTCTAGTATGGGATGATATAATTAATCTGCAATAGGACTACATGTCTGTGCAATTCGGAAATAATTGAATTCAAAAAATTCCTCTGACTGCCAAATTGGCCGGAGTCTTCCCATCGGCCTTGCTGTATTCAACAACCAACCGCAGTCCCAAGTAGTTAACGATATATAGATAACGATATCATCAGTTGATAGATTTAAGTGATGTTTGCTATTTGCTATGAAAACCAAGTATTATTAGTTTGAGCTACCAAGAAACCCTTTATTTCCATTTCATTGCAGTGTATCCCATACCTTCATAGCGTAGAAGAGTGTCCTTGCATCGGCCTGATATGGTGGCAGAAGCAGAGCTGTGATCGCTTCGTGCAGATCGTCTTCCATTTTGGAGTCCAGCACATCTACCAAATCCTAAGGAAGAATATTTTTTTATCATCAGTATTATTACTAATAACGGTTTTATGAGACATCTCTATGAATGAAAATGAAAAATGAAAAATGAGAATCATAGTAGTTAGGAAGGACGGCGTCGTAGTGGTAGTACACTCGTCACTCTGTTCTAGGATCTGGAGTTTGGTTCCTGGAATCGGCAATCACATGTGAGTAGAGAGTGTGTTAGGTCTCTCCCTTGACTCGATGATTTTACTCCGGGTTCTCCGGTTTTTCCTCTCTCCACAAAGCCTAACAAGCTAAATGGTTCCGGATTTAATCTGTTAGCAATGCCCAACTTAGCCCAGAGGTTGTTTCAGGGTTCGATCTATGAGTTAGCCAGGCCCTGACTTAGATCAGCCCAGAGGTTGTTTCAGGGTTCGATCTATGAGTTAGCAATGCCCTGACTTAGATCAGCCCAGAGGTTGTTTCAGGGTTCGATCTATGAGTTAGCCAGGCCCTGACTTAGATCAGCCCAGAGGTTGTTTCAGGGTTTGATCTGTGAGTTAGCCAGGCCCTGACTTAGATCAGCCCAGAGGTTGTTTCAGGGTTCGATCTATGAGTTAGCAATGCCCTGACTTAGATCAGCCCAGAGGTTGTTTCAGGGTTCGATCTGTGAGTTAGTCGTGCCCTGACTTAGATCAACCCAGAGGTTGTTTTAGGGTTTGATCTGTGAGCTAGCCTTGCCCTGACTTAGATCAGCCTAGAGGTTGTTTCAGGGTTCGATATCCTTGTAGTACTGGTTCGCCACATATGTGAAGCGATCATGAACGATCCTGACGAGTCCTCATGGCGTTTAATGGAGTTCTGGGCGTCTCACCTTGTTATACCGCTGTTGGTAATCATCAGACAGCTTCTTCAGTTTGTTTTGATCCACAGCATTTCTAAGAACTATCTCTTTGATTTTCTTCATGTCTTTTTCTGATGAAAAAAATATGCATAAATAATCAATAAGAATATATACTTTGCTATACACTATACTTGCTATACCTTGATATGATTAATATACTTCTTATTTGAATATTTTATCAGCTGAATGGCAAGTTTTTTAGTAAAACTGTCCATAATGGAAGTAATTGAAAATGGAGGACAGCTCGTCACTGAAGGCTGGTAATAAGGTTCCTAAGATCCATTAAGCTGACTTATACCAAATTACGCTATTAAGAGTAAACTTTTCTCTTGACAACTCAAATCCTTGTTTAAGGTAGTCTTTGTGTCACACTCTGTTTCGTGCTTGTGCGCAATGCATCATGGTTTTCATTATGTTCAAAGCTATCCCATGAGGCTTTGCATCAAGGAGTCGTGCCATAAAGGCTTCTATAATGTAGGACATTGTTCATCAGGGAGTCTTTACAGCCCAGTACTTACTTGCAATAGCAGTATGTAGGTGAGTACAATCCTCGTCTTTCTCTTCTTTCTTCTTAGGAGGAGCAGCTCCTGTTTGCTTTTTTGGCTCAGCCTTTTAAGGGAAAGAAGAATCAGAACGATCGATGGGTTGGTTCTGAGTACACCACAAGAATCTTTACAACCTACATCGTTAGGAGTAATTTCAACTACAGGAAGGATCGACCAAGTGAGAAAGAAGGAAAATTAAACACTTTGTAAAAAAGATTTGCAACTGTACTGACGTTATGGATGTTAGAGCGATTTTCCTTCGCCCGCTTCAAGAATATTTATAGTATAGTTAAGGTAATACATATTGGTAGACACAAAGTCTAATATTTCTTTTGTTTTACTTGGACTGTTAGTAGCTGTAATCATACGACTTCGTTTCACGGCTTTTTTTCAGACAGTTTGTAATCACTTTGTTATAGAGGTTTTGCATCACCACTTGATGGCAGCCATGTTAGATGGCAGGAACAAAGGTTGTTTATTGTTCTGCCATCTAAATACAAGCAGCCCATGCAGTATTATGGAATGGGCACGTGATGGTGCAAAACCTCTATGGACTTTTTCTGAGTCCAAGATTGTTGCACTTTTAATTAAAACGCACCTTGGTTTTGTTTGTCGTTTTTTCATGATTTCTTTCTAAGATAAAAAGAGAAAAACAGTATGTACAAATAGAAATGGAGGGAGGAGAAGGAGGGCGGAAGAATGAATAAAGTTTCGCGACAGATAACCAGGTAAACTAGATTAGAATGAATAAGAATATTATTTTTTTGCCGACAGGGTAAACCTACAAAGTTAATTTGTTATTATAATTAAACGAAATTTAAATCTATCAGGAGCACGCAATGAATTTGATAATTTAGATGAGTCAACAAGTCTTGGGTATGATACATTTTGATTGGATGAACTAATTCATGGTATTTCTCTCCTGTATTTGTAACTGCCTTAAGTGTAACGTTTTCCTCTCCATGTGTCAATGCGGTCCCATAATGCTCAATATATTTTTTGTTTAACTGTTGCTCATGAGAAGCTGAAGATGAATACAAGCCAAACAAAAAATCTTATTCTCAAGAGAATGACACGCGGTTTGAAGTTGGGAAACATTACATACTTGCCTAAGTGACATTATTAGTTTCAGTGAAGTTAAACTCACTGAAACTAATAATGTCACTTAGGAAATATCGATTAGCCAATCAGAGAACAAAATATTTTTTTTGGGGTTCTAGACGAAATATGAAAAGCAAGATTTTTCTCTAATCAAAGAAAGTTGTCTGACATAGAATGAGCAGAAAGTGTTTAGTATAACAGCAGTTAAACATTGCTGGTCGTCATGGACGCCATGTTGATTATTGTGTTGGATATCAGTTGACTAAGGTTTTCATTCGTTTCTTTTGTTATTTCATGCAACATGGCGGCCATGATTTTTCTTATTCCATGCTCTTCAGTATTGAAAATGATTGCATGGCCATCCACTGTTTATAAAATGAAATCATAAAATGCCACAAAATTTTGTGAGATGGAGTGATGTATGTCTTCTCAATCTCTAATGGCAAAACACAAATGCAAAACCCACTGGACTCTTAGTGTCCTCTCAATCTCTAATCAAAACACAAATGCATGGAAACTCCTTTTCTCAAGTGTTTTTTCAACAAAGTATGATGCCTCCAATTATAGTGCTTTCAATTACTCGGCCATGAATGATGAATGCATTGAATGGGGAAAAAATGAAGCTGAAGCTAAAATGGTTCTTTAGTGGAGATGTTCCAGAAGCTATTTTTATACATATCAAAACTAGAGCAAGTTCGATGGAAATAATTGGTGGATCCATTCAGTCACCTACCGTCGTCCTTCCTCTTCGTATTCTTCAAGTGCAAGAAAAAGATAGCCGAATGGACAACAGCTTTGAATATCTGATGGATAATGAACATGCTCACAACTACTGCTGCACATTCATGTCGTAATGCAGTTTAGACGATTTTTTTTTCAAAACTTACTTTACCTATCTATTTTTTTGTGCTAAATTTCCTTTAAAATAAACTTGTTCGTTGCTGACTGGCTTCTGAATAGCGGAAAACCTTCAAAAGTCCTATCTTCCTTCATTCTATCCGATAAAAACCGACTAACATTCCATCCAACTCCATATTCAAACTTGAAAACCACAAATTGTGATGAGTTCAGATCTAATGCCAGAGATTCAAAATATGAACCTGATTTGAAATTAAATTATTTATTCTTTGAAAAACCCCCCTTGTGGAGAATGACCTAAATATGCGATGTGTACCAAGACTCCAAGCCGGTTATGAAGTGATTTTTCACCTGGTGAAATATGTATTTTGGTAATTTAAGGTGTTATGAGGTAGATTTGTGTCGATTTAGATGTAAATGGAAACAACATACATCATGGTAGCAATCAACAAGCAGTTTGAGGCAGACGTCATGATTTTACAGGAATTGACCATTTGTATTATAGCGTCATAAACTACCATTACCAGAATCCATTGCGGTTTTTTATGGAACGTACAGCAGGTACAAGGTATGACATTCCGTAACACCTAAATGGCTTCCCATTGTCTTCTGGTAAATCGATCATCCCGATCACAAGACGTGTAATACAGTGTCGTTTTAGTATGCCTACAATGTTGCCATATAGTTCTCACTCATACCAAAATTGGTCTAACTGGCCAAATTCTCTTGCTATTCTTACAAAAATTCTCCGAAAAAAATCGATGAAAAAAATTCAAGAAGGAAACATTCTGTTAATGTAAGATTAACAAAGACAAATGGCCTATTGCAAATGGTCTATTATCAGCTTTGTGAACCCAGCAAATGCAGTAAGAATCATGTATGGCCAACACATCAAAAATACAACCTGCAGCAATTATTATTTACAGCTTGGTTTATATTAAAGCATTGTGGTGTTTCGGTGGGGAATGTAAATTGAGACACGTCAGGTTTGTTAGACGCGTTTAAGTCCCCCTTAACTCAGTGGAGTCGAGGTTTTTCCCTGCCTTGGTCACGCGAGAAGTGATCATGATCAGGTCAAGTTTGAAGCGGCTCGCGCGCGGGGAGGAAAAGTAATACTACTTTTTTTACTTTCGTGTGCTGCTTTACTCGCTCTCACTCCTCGTGCGACCAAAGCAGGAGAAAAACTCGAATCCACTGAATTAGGGAAAATATAGGGACTGTTAACAAATTTGTCGGTAATGGAAATATTTACGAATAACTCTTATCTAAAATATTTACAATGCTCATACCTTTAGTCTATCATGAGCAGAGTTGATCATAAAATATATATACAATATCATATAAATTATGTACAATTTAAAAATGATATTTACATTCGCTCTAAGTAGCACGCATAGAATCGTGCAATTGCCTTCTCGACAAAATATGATTTTGGGTCGATGTCATAATGACATTGTTGGCACGAACACACATAGGATCCAAGGGCACGTCTCTATGGAATGTATTGGAAACGACTTGATTGACTCAACTATAAATCAATCTATACACATATGCATTTCTATGGTGGTATCAAAATGATGATATTTATTTAACGTCCAGGATGGTCCCCTTAAGAGTTGGTTGGCTTTATTCTACCTTTTAACTTTGGCAAGAGAATTTTCTTCAGTTCAGGGCTGCATTTCTTATCGACTTCGTTGAATAGATTGGGTTTGTGGTTAGCGTTGTACGCTGACTCGAGTTTCTTCAGCGAAGCCTGAAATAAATAAACAATAAAATAAAAATAACTACAATAAATATTTGTTTAAATTGAAAATAAACCTCTTGCTTTCTGATTGGTTAGTTACACGGGGCGTACTAGTTTCTGATTGGTTGGTTATACCTTTCCTGATTGGTTGGCGAACGCGATTTCTGATTGGTTGGTGACCATGTAATCTGATTGATTGGTTACACCGCGGACCCGCTATTTTCTGATTGGTTGTGACCGCGATTTCTGATTTGCTTGTTCCGAGGACCTTTATTTCCTGGGCCTGCTTTTTATTACAATAATAATTTTTTATCATACCTCGTTACTACCAGCAATAATCCTCGCTACAGTACTCATATCTCCATCCTGTAGAGCATCGTGTATCTTATCGACTTGGTTCTTCTCTGGGTCTCGTAAACAAGCTACTAGAGTCAAGAGACCAGTTTGTAAGTCACCGTCCATCTCGCTTGTTATTGACTCTTCAATGTCACACTTTGCCCACTGAAATAATGAAGTCAATGTAATGTCGATAAGTTTTGACTTGAAACACAGGGAGCCCACCATAGATAAAATATACCTATTCATTTTTTCTAAGTGGGTTTCCTGAGGTGAAACTATCAGTAGATAATGTAATGATTAGGACTCGTTGGTTTTGCTGGTTTCCAATCATTCCCAAGGGGAGTGAAAAAACGAAAGGCAGGGCGGCCATGTTGGTTGATATAACAAAAGAATTCATTGACAATCTGTTAAATTTAACCAAGATGGCGGCTATGACGTCATGTGCGAACGAAGAATATTCTATCGTGCCGAATAAGTTACTTTCAGTTATAGGAAGTCGCAAGAAAATTGCTAGGTTTTCAAGTAACGCATTTTTAATTTTATTGTTGGTATTTGTGAACAAAAAAAATCAGTGAACTAACCCATGAGCCTGTAATCCAAGAGTACAGCGGTATCTAAAGAAAGGTTTCTATTCACTCACCTTGTTGTATTCAGGCAACATAGCTTGTAGCTGTGGAATACTTCTTGTTGTGAAGATCTCGATGAACTTATCCTCATCTGTTCCCCACGTCTTGATACCAGCCTGCAACAACAACAACAACCTTCAACTCAAACAGATTCTCTATGTCCTCTACCCACACCCCTCCCCCTAGAGTCTCTCTCTCCTTAGACTCTTAGGGGAGAAGTGGGAGAGGGGAGCATTTCTGGCCAGGTAATAATAGAACAAGCAATCATTTTAATATTTTAATACTGGTTCTTTTTGTAGTATTTCGCTATACAGTCGAATTCGAACCTCTGTAAAGCGATCATAGTGAGATTACTTACTATATCCAATATCATAATAACCCAAACTCACCTCAATCAATGTCTCAGCATCTTTGTGAGCTTGGTCATCATTGACTGACTTACTTTCGTCACGTTGACCCTGAAAATATTAAAGATAAATTGTTAATCTCTAATTCTGACTTGCACTGGTCGTCCATGGGCGGGGTGCGCGTGCGCATACGGTACGCGCGCGTATGCGATCCCGTCAACTATCCAGTCTTCTTTAAGTTACTTTTCTAAGAAAAGAACTCAGGTCTTAGGATGTAAATGATCTAACTTTTACCTGTAGTAAAGCAACGAGCAGTTTTTCAAAGTCTCCACTGGTTTCTGATTTCACGTCTTCTTCCAGAGATTTCCCATATTCTGTGATGAAAATAGCATCGATATTAAAACAGTTAAAAATAGATTAGTAAACACCTTAATGGTTCTATGCATCTAATTAATCTTTCTCTAAAAACCGCGAGGGAGATATTCTGAGATACACAGAAAACATTATGAATTACTTACGCTTTTTGTAGTCTTTCTTGATATTCTGGATCTCCTGATGGAAAACACAAACGATGTCTTTATATGTATTTTGGTTAAAAGAGACCAGAATTAACAGGCATAAAGAAAATATCTGCTTACATTGCGAAATCCATTTGCAATTGAAATGATGCAAGGGAGGAGCAAGATCTAGAGTGGGAGCAAGATCTAGAGTGGGAGCAAGAGTGGGAGCAAGAGAGGGAGCAAGGGAGGGAGCAAGGGAGGGAGCAAGAGAGGAAGCAAGAGAGGGAGCAAGAGAGGGAGTAAGAGAGGAACAAGGGAGGGAGCAAGAGAGGGAGTAAGAGGGGGAGCAAGAGAGAGAGCAAGAGAGGGAGCAAAAGAGGGAGGAATAAAAAACTTGATTCCCATTTATTCGAACTTACCGCATTGCTTCGAGAACACAGAATCTCTATAAGTACAGCCTCGTTTGTTCCTACACCCTGTTGGAAATATTGTATCATTTTTACACATTAATAGTTAGATAAAATAATGAACGATTTGCTAAGACGACTTAGAACACTTTTTTTCTAATCATAAAAAAACGCGCGTGCGTCAAAATGCGCGTAAAGATCTAAGGGAAATGTATATCTACCTTCATAGCTGAATGTAGTGTCCTCGCATCCGCCTGAGATGGTGGTAGAAGCAGGCCTGCGATTGCTTCCAGGAGATCTTTATCAATATTTGATTCTAGGACTTCCAGAAGATGCTGGAAAATAAGAAAAATATAGCAACTATGAGAGGCGTAAGAAATGTGTTACAAGTCGATAATATTTCCCGACAAAATAAGGGTACAAATTGTTTTTTCGTGAGTGGTAGAGTCAGGAATGTTCGACAGTTTCCCTTGAAGGATTTCATTTTGCGTTTCGCGCCAAAACTGTTGCCAGCTCCACTGATTGGATGGTTATCATTTATCAACCGACTGAAAAAAACCCGTAGGAAATTTGGCGCGCGAAGATATGGAAAGTAATCAGTCCAAACAACACAGAAGCAAGAGGAAAAAGGGACTTCTGTTTCACATAGTCTTCGTAGTTAAAATGAAGAATTTCAAAGTTGAACTTTCGAATAAGCCAGTTCATAGTTTAAGAATAGTTTCCAGTACGCATGCGATTTTATCCCGAATTTCTCACCTTCTTTTGTTTAAGAACAAAAGAAGGTTGTTTAAACAAAGAAGAGGTGAGAAATTATGGAAAAAATCGCACGCGTGCGCACTGAAAAAGATTCTTAATCTATGAACTGGTTTATTGCTAGTTTTCAATCATTCCCAAGAGAATTAAATAACAAAAGACACGGCGGCCATGTTGGAGGATATAACAAAAGAATTCCTTGACAATTCTTTTGTTAAGTTCCTCCAACATGGCCGACATGAAAACCATCAATACCTGGTGATGTTGTTTCTTGTAATCGTCGGAGAGTTTCTTCAGTTTCGGTTTTTCAGTAGCGTGACGGAGAACAATATCTTGGATTTTCTTTTTATCCTCAGCTATAAAACAAAATAATACGGTAACAAATGTATTCAAAACGATTGTTTGATATTATAATATCGCAGTGAGGGATGGATGAAAGAAATGCCATTCACGATCTTTTATCCATTCAATCATTTTTGTTTTGCTTTTTGTTTTTGTTTTGTTTATTTTTATTTCATATTATTTTTTTATTTCGTTTTAATCACATTTAGCTTCATTTCATTTTTTTCTGGCTTCATTAATTTCTTTTGTTCATTCCTTCCCATCTCTCTCCTGGTTTCATTTTCCATCCCTTCCTATTTCCTTTGCCACTTTATTTACTCCTTGACAAGCTATATTTATTTATACACTCCCATTTCTATCCATGTTTTTGACTGGTTGAACTATACTCGGATCCTTGTTGTTTGTTCCTCATCTGTTTACCCTCTACTACTGCTTATATGTACAGTATACAGTCCTAACGGGTAAATTACCCAGAACTTGCGTCATCCAAACTGCTCGCCAGTTTAAATCTTCGCCGTATGCTCGAGGCATAGTTTTAGCAAATTAAATGGGATCGAAAAAAGCGAGCTCAAGACGTGTTAGATAACATATGCGGCAGCTAGTAACTGGGAATTAATTATCCCCATCTAGGGGCGTAGGGATGAAGCCGATCAAACGACAACGCTTAGTCAAAGGACTGTATGTGTGTCACTCTCTTACGGTTTTTTTGTTTTTTTGTTTTTTTGTTTCAAATAAATGAATCATCCTACCTTGTACAGCCTTGTACAGTTGGCTAGTCTCGTCGTCCTTCTTTCCTTTTGCTGGTTCAGTCTGTTTCTTCGTTGGTGGTGCATGCTTGGACGGGGAGGATTTACCTTTGTCGGCCTTGACAGTGTCTTTACCTTTCACTTGGTTGCTCTGCAGGTTGCAAAGAAGAACCACAGGAAATTCTCATCAACTCAGGATAAAAGCGATTGATATATTCCGATGTTGTGATAACAGTATTATTTAAGCTAAAATTACAATCAGTTCCCATTAAAAGAAAAAGTATTTCGATGAAATCTTGCCCTCCTCGTTCCCAGGGTCTTCTCTTCTTTTTAAGATGCGAGAAGATAAGGCCCTGGGAACAAGATTGAATCTTACCTTGTGTTGTGGACTATCTTTTCCTAAAGGAAACAATATATAACATCAGAAGCGAATAGATTAAAAAGTTTATTTTGTTTATTAGCTAATCTATCTATATTTTTCTAACTTCCTTCATTCCTTAATTTTTTCATTCACCAATTGCACCAATTATCCATCCATCTATTCATCCATTTCATTGATTGATTGTATTGATTGACATACAAATTTATTCATTCATTTTTCATTCATGTTTAATAACAAACTTCCTCTCCTACCTTTACCTATTTTCCCCATCAATAGCTTCTTCAAGCTTTCACTGCACTTCTTCTGGACGTCTTCATCCAGGCTGGTATCATTAGCTTTCTTATACTCGTTCATGATTTCGGTAAGTTTGGCCTGTAAAACAATATAAATTGTGGATGCCAACTGCTTCATTTAATTATACTATAATTTACATAAAGAAGCAGGTCCTGAATCATAGGTTATATGGGCGAGGTCGAGGGAGCTTGAAATGCTTTGCTTTATTTTCCCGACATTTGGGATTCTGTGAGCTGTGTGTGTCTGACTTTTCTGTACATGCACTCGCTTCGTGCTTTCCATGGCAAATGGTACAGTGTTTGTTCCGCAATTGCCCCGCACAGGGTATATATCAAAGATCCAGACTTGCTAGCTAGCTGGCTTGAAGAAAAAAGTTTATCATACCTTGTCACTGGTCAGAATCAAGCGTGCAGCAGTATTTGTGTCGCCATCTTGAAGAGAACTGTGTAGTTTATTGGAGTAAAACTGACGGGGGTTACGCATGCACTTTACTGGAATGAAAAACATTTGACAGGTAAGGACATGTAACTATACTTTTAATGAAGCAAGCAATAGGATCAAAGTCCGATACATGACAGAATGAGCTATTCCGAGGTTGAGGGGAAAACTGGGTCGAGTTTGCGTTGCAGTGCATTGTGGGACTGTTTAAGAGACGAAATAGACGCCATCTTGGAAATACGTTCCATTAACAGTAAAAGACTAGACTACCATCCCAACTTGACCCAGTTTTTTCTTCAACCGCCGAATACCTAATACAAACCTAAAATAAGGAGTCCTTTTTCCAAGTCTCCAGTCATCTCATTTTCAATCGATTCTTCAATTTCAACTTCAGCCAACTGTATGAAAATTTGACAAAAGTTAATTAATTAACTTAACTTTGACATTTTGGTTCAGGCGTTTATCATCAATATAAAACCCAACATGTGAGTTGAGCGTCGTGTGCATAGAATATTGAATGTNAGCAAGAGAGGGAGCAAGAGAGGGAGTAAGAGAGGAGCAAGAGAGGGAGCAAGAAAGGGAGCAAGGGAGGGAACAAGAGAGGGAGCAAGAGAGGGAGCAAAAGAGGGAGGAATAAAAAACTTGATTCCCATTTATTCGAACTTACCGCATTGCTTCGAGAACACAGAATCTCTATAAGTACAGCCTCGTTTGTTCCTACACCCTGTTGGAAATATTGTATCATTTTTACACATTAATAGTTAGATAAAATAATGAACGATTTGCTAAGACGACTTAGAACACTTTTTTTCTAATCATAAAAAAACGCGCGTGCGTCAAAATGCGCGTAAAGATCTAAGGGAAATGTATATCTACCTTCATAGCTGAATGTAGTGTCCTCGCATCCGCCTGAGATGGTGGTAGAAGCAGGCCTGCGATTGCTTCCAGGAGATCTTTATCAATATTTGATTCTAGGACTTCCAGAAGATGCTGGAAAATAAGAAAAATATAGCAACTATGAGAGGCGTAAGAAATGTGTTACAAGTCGATAATATTTCCCGACAAAATAAGGGTACAAATTGTTTTTTCGTGAGTGGTAGAGTCAGGAATGTTCGACAGTTTCCCTTGAAGGATTTCATTTTGCGTTTCGCGCCAAAACTGTTGCCAGCTCCACTGATTGGATGGTTATCATTTATCAACCGACTGAAAAAAACCCGTAGGAAATTTGGCGCGCGAAGATATGGAAAGTAATCAGTCCAAACAACACAGAAGCAAGAGGAAAAAGGGACTTCTGTTTCACATAGTCTTCGTAGTTAAAATGAAGAATTTCAAAGTTGAACTTTCGAATAAGCCAGTTCATAGTTTAAGAATAGTTTCCAGTACGCATGCGATTTTATCCCGAATTTCTCACCTTCTTTTGTTTAAGAACAAAAGAAGGTTGTTTAAACAAAGAAGAGGTGAGAAATTATGGAAAAAATCGCACGCGTGCGCACTGAAAAAGATTCTTAATCTATGAACTGGTTTATTGCTAGTTTTCAATCATTCCCAAGAGAATTAAATAACAAAAGACACGGCGGCCATGTTGGAGGATATAACAAAAGAATTCCTTGACAATTCTTTTGTTAAGTTCCTCCAACATGGCCGACATGAAAACCATCAATACCTGGTGATGTTGTTTCTTGTAATCGTCGGAGAGTTTCTTCAGTTTCGGTTTTTCAGTAGCGTGACGGAGAACAATATCTTGGATTTTCTTTTTATCCTCAGCTATAAAACAAAATAATACGGTAACAAATGTATTCAAAACGATTGTTTGATATTATAATATCGCAGTGAGGGATGGATGAAAGAAATGCCATTCACGATCTTTTATCCATTCAATCATTTTTGTTTTGCTTTTTGTTTTTGTTTTGTTTATTTTTATTTCATATTATTTTTTTATTTCGTTTTAATCACATTTAGCTTCATTTCATTTTTTTCTGGCTTCATTAATTTCTTTTGTTCATTCCTTCCCATCTCTCTCCTGGTTTCATTTTCCATCCCTTCCTATTTCCTTTGCCACTTTATTTACTCCTTGACAAGCTATATTTATTTATACACTCCCATTTCTATCCATGTTTTTGACTGGTTGAACTATACTCGGATCCTTGTTGTTTGTTCCTCATCTGTTTACCCTCTACTACTGCTTATATGTACAGTATACAGTCCTAACGGGTAAATTACCCAGAACTTGCGTCATCCAAACTGCTCGCCAGTTTAAATCTTCGCCGTATGCTCGAGGCATAGTTTTAGCAAATTAAATGGGATCGAAAAAAGCGAGCTCAAGACGTGTTAGATAACATATGCGGCAGCTAGTAACTGGGAATTAATTATCCCCATCTAGGGGCGTAGGGATGAAGCCGATCAAACGACAACGCTTAGTCAAAGGACTGTATGTGTGTCACTCTCTTACGGTTTTTTTGTTTTTTTGTTTTTTTGTTTCAAATAAATGAATCATCCTACCTTGTACAGCCTTGTACAGTTGGCTAGTCTCGTCGTCCTTCTTTCCTTTTGCTGGTTCAGTCTGTTTCTTCGTTGGTGGTGCATGCTTGGACGGGGAGGATTTACCTTTGTCGGCCTTGACAGTGTCTTTACCTTTCACTTGGTTGCTCTGCAGGTTGCAAAGAAGAACCACAGGAAATTCTCATCAACTCAGGATAAAAGCGATTGATATATTCCGATGTTGTGATAACAGTATTATTTAAGCTAAAATTACAATCAGTTCCCATTAAAAGAAAAAGTATTTCGATGAAATCTTGCCCTCCTCGTTCCCAGGGTCTTCTCTTCTTTTTAAGATGCGAGAAGATAAGGCCCTGGGAACAAGATTGAATCTTACCTTGTGTTGTGGACTATCTTTTCCTAAAGGAAACAATATATAACATCAGAAGCGAATAGATTAAAAAGTTTATTTTGTTTATTAGCTAATCTATCTATATTTTTCTAACTTCCTTCATTCCTTAATTTTTTCATTCACCAATTGCACCAATTATCCATCCATCTATTCATCCATTTCATTGATTGATTGTATTGATTGACATACAAATTTATTCATTCATTTTTCATTCATGTTTAATAACAAACTTCCTCTCCTACCTTTACCTATTTTCCCCATCAATAGCTTCTTCAAGCTTTCACTGCACTTCTTCTGGACGTCTTCATCCAGGCTGGTATCATTAGCTTTCTTATACTCGTTCATGATTTCGGTAAGTTTGGCCTGTAAAACAATATAAATTGTGGATGCCAACTGCTTCATTTAATTATACTATAATTTACATAAAGAAGCAGGTCCTGAATCATAGGTTATATGGGCGAGGTCGAGGGAGCTTGAAATGCTTTGCTTTATTTTCCCGACATTTGGGATTCTGTGAGCTGTGTGTGTCTGACTTTTCTGTACATGCACTCGCTTCGTGCTTTCCATGGCAAATGGTACAGTGTTTGTTCCGCAATTGCCCCGCACAGGGTATATATCAAAGATCCAGACTTGCTAGCTAGCTGGCTTGAAGAAAAAAGTTTATCATACCTTGTCACTGGTCAGAATCAAGCGTGCAGCAGTATTTGTGTCGCCATCTTGAAGAGAACTGTGTAGTTTATTGGAGTAAAACTGACGGGGGTTACGCATGCACTTTACTGGAATGAAAAACATTTGACAGGTAAGGACATGTAACTATACTTTTAATGAAGCAAGCAATAGGATCAAAGTCCGATACATGACAGAATGAGCTATTCCGAGGTTGAGGGGAAAACTGGGTCGAGTTTGCGTTGCAGTGCATTGTGGGACTGTTTAAGAGACGAAATAGACGCCATCTTGGAAATACGTTCCATTAACAGTAAAAGACTAGACTACCATCCCAACTTGACCCAGTTTTTTCTTCAACCGCCGAATACCTAATACAAACCTAAAATAAGGAGTCCTTTTTCCAAGTCTCCAGTCATCTCATTTTCAATCGATTCTTCAATTTCAACTTCAGCCAACTGTATGAAAATTTGACAAAAGTTAATTAATTAACTTAACTTTGACATTTTGGTTCAGGCGTTTATCATCAATATAAAACCCAACATGTGAGTTGAGCGTCGTGTGCATAGAATATTGAATGTAGCGGTGGTGTGTGTAAAGAGATTTATCTATTTTATTAATGAACTTGTTCTGGACTTAAAACTTCACTGTTATTCCCCCCCCTCCCCCCCCACGCACACACCACCGACCACGCCCACATCCAGCAACCCCCCAGCAAACTTAATGTTGATTATCTTCTAATGCTCATTGACTTTTCCCGATAGTTATCCTCGCATCACCAAGATAGCCTGAGAATTAATACGTTCTTCGCTATCTCTAAATCTAACTTGGCTACGATGCGCTGGAGATAGATGCCACAGCTAACGACAAGGCGCCAATGTTTCTACATGGATGATCATACAAACCTTTTTGTACTCCACAAAAACCGCGTTCAGCTGTGCAGGGTTGCGCTTTGTTAGAATACTGATGAAGGTGTTCTCATTCGTTCCAAACGTCTTGGCACCGGCCTGCAAAACGAAGGGCATGATTTACCACTCAATTAGAGTATAGACAACGCGGTCAATTAGAGTATAGACAACGCAGTCAATTAGAGTATAGACAACGAGGTCAATTAGAGGATAGACAACGCGGTCAATTAGAGTATAGACAACGCGGTCAATTAGAGGATAGACAACGAGGTCAATTAGAG